TCTTATACTAATACAGATAATTATGCCGGCTAAAGTGCAAATTAACAAGCACATGTAAGACCTAGGAAATAGTATCTTAGCCAAAGAAATTATATAAACCTTGATGAGTTTTTCAGAGAAAATTTAAATATGTCGATTTTGATCAAATTTGGCAATTAAAAATTAACAATAATGTTTTATTTAGATATAATAAGATTAGTAGCCAGGTCATTATTTACTGCATATTGTGGCCCGGTATCATACTATTTATACCCATGTTATAAAATATCTCATATATGCTCATCGGCTTTGTATAATAATAAATTATCATTATATGTTTTATTGAGTTAAAATTTTACATCCTTAATAATAAGAATATTTAATGGTCGATATATGGGTCTCATCATGCAGAAGGGAGACATTTATTTTGCAGTGCAAGCTGTAAACATAACCTAATCAATGATTTCAATATTAACACACAGTGTTTCTTATTTATGAAAAGCATTGATTAGGTTATGTTTACAGCTTGCACTGCAAAATAAATGTCTCCCTTCTGCATGGTGAGGACCATATATAGTATGTAAGTGGTAGTACTTATTAATAAAATTATTAAAATTTATACTCTAAGATTACTCATAATTATTGAGGTCGATTTGCCAAAAATAAAATTTACATTGAATCCTATGCATTTTTTAAGGGACAAATGACTAGTACACCCTGTACACAAAATTAAACATAAGTTTGTATAATAATTTTGTTTAATCTACACCTTAATACATTTATATAACAATGCAATTAAAAAACTTACGTGAAGTCTAGTTGCTATACAAGTGTCATCCCCCTCAGCGCACGTGTACGTAAACTTGCCAGTACCAGTTTCCGTATCCCTGGTAGCCCTACCCCATGGTATATAATCCACTTCCACGTTATACTTAGTCTCCCCGTCCACCTCGGGTAACATCAACTCATATAATCCTTTATCATTTCCCTCGGCATTCAATTTAATCAAATCAATGGACTTTGTACTATACGGCGAGTAATACACCTGCACTTTAACTTTATCAGTTGGCACACTTATGTCAACAGGCACATCCGGATCCTCTGTCACATCTGAGCAAGGTTCTGGTCTGAGTTCTTTCTATAATTTTAATAAAGTATAATATTATATAATACTTTAATTAATTATTTGCAAAAATTTAATCTAATAAGTATCACCAACCGGTATTGCCTTGCACACTTCGTATCTAACTTTAGTCAATGCTTTATCATTGCGAACGCCATTAATTAATATCAGTGGATCACTCTCTGTAACCAAGGTAAATGTTTTAAAAGTTTTAATCAAAAAACTGTAATTTATATGAAAATTGCTATTATAATAATCTAACATTTTAATATTAATAAATAATTGGACCCTATTTCAGACCCCAAGTTTTTACAAAATTATATATTTAAAAAATAAAATACCTGGGGTAATTTCTGGATAGAGACCATCAGTGGCGGCTAATACCTCATCTAAATAGCCGTTCCCCTCGACATTGTCTTTAGCGGCACAGGCTGTCAGTGCATTAGCCGTATCTGCTAGCCCGTGGAGTAGTAAGTGAAGTAAGTGTGTAACCTGATGGACACGGTCACCTAACCAAAAGGTACATAGGACCAGTCACCACGTGTCATAGTATATTTTGAGCACCACCAACACCATATCCCTGACGTGGTTGCGAGCTATACATGCCTGCGCAAAATACAAAAATTATATTATGACGGTAGCATTAATTGTTCCCAGATGCCAATTTTTTACTATTAATTATATTCAATAAGCAATAATTTAAGTTTACAGTTTAATCAATGATAAGTAATAAATATTATTACTAATTTTAACTCTAATATATTAATGTGAAATTAATAATAAATATTTATTAATTGATTTGTGTCAAAGTTTAGCAATGTAAATTTTAATAAATTAAGTTATAATTTGTTAATAGTAATAATTTTTAATATCTTGTTGTGACACTTACATGAAGTCTAGTGCCGATACAGTCAGTATCATCATCAGGGCAAGTATATGCAAAACCAGTGTCACCCTTATCCCTGGTAGCCCTACCCCAGGGTATATAATCCACCTCAATCTTATTCTTGACTTCCCCTTCAACCTCTGGTAGCATAAGCTCGTACAGACCATCAGGATTATCTTGCTTGTTTAGTTTGATAAAATCAATGGCCGCCTGATTATACGGTGAATAAAACACCTGCACCCTAGCCAACGGTTTATCATCAGGTGGGACGGGTGTATTGATACAAGGTTGTGGTCTGGATTCATCCTGGTTACAATAAAATTATAATTAGATTTTAATAATAACTTATTTATGAATTTTTAATTGTATTAAACATACGGTGAATGCATTGCAAACAGCGGTTTTCAATATTTAAATATGTCGGTTTTGATCAAATTTGGCAATTAAAAATTAACAATAATGTTTTATGTAGATATAATAAGATTAGTAGCCAGGTCATAATTTAATGCATATTATGGCCCGTTATCACACTGTTTATACCCATGTCATAAAATATCTCATATATGCTCATAGGCTTTTATAATAAGAAATTATCATTAGATGTTTTATTAAGTTAAAATTTTACATATTTAATAATAAAAATATTTAATTGTCGAAATATATAGTATGTAAGTGGTAGTACTTATTAATAAAATTATTAAAATTGATACTCTAAGATTACTCATAATTATTGAGTCGATTTGCCGAAAATAAAATTTACATTGAATCCTATGCATTTTTTATTGGACAAATGACTAGTACACCCTGTAGGCTAAATAAAAACATATCAATAAAATTTATTAGCTCTATTATAAAATACTGTATAGGTAATGTATATATTATTAATCTAATGAATTTATGATAGGTGATATGAATTTTATAGAATCATACAAGACTAAATACGCTTCTTTAATTTTTCCAAATATTTAATATAAAACAAATCTATACCATGTTACTAATAATTTTGGTAGGAAGTAGTGTGACCAGACGTCCAGCTTTTGGCTGGATTGTCCAGTTGTTGCACATAGTGTCCAGTTTTGTAATTGGTCTATTACAATGTAATGGATAATATTGTCCAGTTTTAAAACTTGGATTAATTCTAATATTGTCTCATTTCATACAATTGTCCAGTTTTAAACAAAATATTGAAAAAATATCTGGTCACACTAGTAGGAAGGCCTGTGCCAATAGGACCCGGATTGTTTTATATAAATTATTCTTATTTATTTTATGGCTGTTTTAACAATATTCTTGTATATTTATGAATTAAAACATTTTGATATGAGATATAAATATTAGTAATGCTTTCAAAATGAATTATGACTAAGGTTGGCATTTTCAGTGAAATTTATTTTTCGTGAAATATTTCAGTGATAGGTGAAATTTATTCTTAATGTATAAAAGCATTGGATTTACATATCAATAAATTCAATATCAGAATCAGAGTCATATTCTTGAATATCAAGATCACTATTACTAATATCAAAAGTCATTAACAATTTTAATCAAGTTTAATCAACAATATAATGCTTTTGTTTGAAAGGAAATCAATAATCAATTACAGAAAAGTAAACATTTCTTCTGATAAAGGGCGACCCTGAGTGAAATTTATTGAAATTTATTTTCAAGTGAAATTGAATATTCCGAAATATTTCAGTGAAATTTATTAACTATCTCACTATGGCCAACCTTAATTATGACTAATTCAGCAATTGTATAGTAAAGTTAAATTTGTTATCTACAATATATTATAGCTATATTCTTTCAATATTAGTAATACTTTAAGAAAATTGTTGTTAAACATAGGAATATATTAATTAAGAATAATTTATATAAAACAATCCGGGCCCTATTGGCACGGAGCTTCCTGCCAAAATTATTAGTAACATGGTATAGATTTGTTTTATATTAAATATTTGGAAAAATTAAAGAAGCGTATTTAGTCTTGTATGATTCTATAAAATTCATATCACCTATCATAAATTCATTAGATTAATAATATATACATTACCTATACAGTATTTTATAATAGAGCTAATAAATTTTATTGATATGTTTTTATTTAGCCTACAGGGTGTACTAGTCATTTGTCCAATAAAAAATGCATAGGATTCAATGTAAATTTTATTTTCGGCAAATCGACTCAATAATTATGAGTAATCTTAGAGTATCAATTTTAATAATTTTATTAATAAGTACTACCACTTACATACTATATATTTCGACAATTAAATATTTTTATTATTAAATATGTAAAATTTTAACTTAATAAAACATCTAATGATAATTTCTTATTATAAAAGCCTATGAGCATATATGAGATATTTTATGACATGGGTATAAACAGTGTGATAACGGGCCATAATATGCATTAAATTATGACCTGGCTACTAATCTTATTATATCTACATAAAACATTATTGTTAATTTTTAATTGCCAAATTTGATCAAAACCGACATATTTAAAT